TAAGTTGGTTGATATGTTATATAACCAGAGCTATGCTTGTTTTTTAAGTTATTTATTATTGACTTATTTCTTTCTCTGAAACTGGAGTTAAAAACATGGAATGCTTAGCTTGTTCGATGGTTTATTTTCTTTACAGCTTCTGGCGCTGCATTTGCCATAAATTGATTTATTTCGTTAGAAAGCACCTGAGGGTCACCCTCCAAACCGAAATTACCTTGATTTTTGGAATTACCCTTAATCTCTTTTACCAATTGCCAAGCCATTTTAGTTTTATTTTCGCTATTTTCAATTCGTTCTTTATAACAATTTTTCCGAGATTGAGTGAGTAAAGAATTGTATTTGCGTTTTTCTGTCCTATAAATATCTTTATAATCAACATTATTGGTAGACAGTGTAAACAAAACATCAAGCCTAGATTTACAACGTTTTATATCATCATTTTTAAAGTACTTTTGTGATTTTTTTTTATTTGCTGTATTTATCTCTTTGAGTGGAAAACATTCTATAAAAATTTTCTGAACTATACTCATAAAAGCATCCCACTGATTATCTACTTCTAATGTCTCAAAAACAGATACCCAGTCTACATTACCTAACATGAATTTAAAAAAACTTTTATTCTCCTTGCTAAATATTCGTTTTTTTATTATATTTGACTCAAATTCATTTAATTCAAATTTTACCTTTTGAGCAGTATGATCAGATGTATGAGGATTGAATACAAGGGAATCAAATATGTCAAGATTTGTAAAAATATTATCTATACAGGATTTTTTGTTACCTTGTATGCGTGTATAGTCTTTGATGGAAGGTTTTATATCAAAGGAGTCAAAAACATTTTAATGCGTCTGGCCACCTTGCACCCTCAAGCAGCATATCTAAGTTAAAATCACCAGCCAAAAAAATGATGGAGTCCTTGTCAACTAAATCACAAAGTATTTGGTCTAATTTATTCATTAAAACTTGTGGGTCTTCTGTTCGGTAGATGGATAGGATTACAATCTTCTTCTTATTAATTTGCACCTCTGCAGCGGAACACTCAAACACCGTTCTTTCTGATAAACTAGAGATATCTTCCCGGGCTTTTGCAATAAATGTGTCTTTGATGTATACGCACTGCCACCATGCTCCTGTGAACTGCTTCTGCAATATGAAGAGATCAGTTTAAAATTCCGCACATTGTAGTCCCGCAGTTGTTCTTCTGTTTTCCAGTGCTCAGTTAAACAAAGAGCAAAGCATTTCATCATGATCTTCTAGGATAAAATTAATGACATCAATACTTGTTTTAATTGATTGCGTATTTAAGTGGATTACTGATAATTTTCTTTTGGTGTGTGCTGTAGACTGTCTTTTGACACTGGGGTGCCTCTGTACATTCTGAAAATGGTTAAAAATTACACCATTCGGCCATAATTCTTGCTGCATTAAATGAGGTATTTTTAGTTCTGGAACAGTAATTTTAAATGAACTTTTGTACTTATCTGTCCTGGTTTTCATTTTTTCGCAGATAACATTTTCATCCAGTTTTCTTTCTTTTAGATAGTTAAGTATTTCCTGAGCTTCCGTTTTTGGATCGAAACCTGACAGGCCATATGTTTTGTTGCTACACGCAGGATACTTCCAGCATTCTCATTGGTTCCCTGGAGTGGATCTGGTCGTTCAATAAGTGTTGGACGAGGTGTTTTGTAAAAACCTCTTTTTTTTGGGTTTCCCATTTATCATTTTCATCTTCAATCAGTGGACGGTTGGTATCTTTAACAGGCGTCACGGGTGCAATTGAACTGCTTGATATTCTTGGTTTAGGTGAGCAGCTCAGACAAATCAACAGAACAAAGTGGCTGTTCTGTGACTGCTTCAACTGACCTTGTAGTCTCTTTCAAATCATTTTGTTCTTTTAAAATTAATGGATTGTTATTGATATTCTTAGTTTTTGCAGCATTTTTTACCTCCATGGAATTTTTTGTTAACTTTTTCTCTATGCTTTCTATTTTTTCCCATAGCAGCTTATTATTTTCCTCTAGGATTTGATTTTTTACTTCTTAATTCACAAATTAGTTCATTTAGCAGATGAATGATTGTATTTTCCATGCCATCTCCACTTTTTAAGTTTATATTAGAATCACAACAAATCACACGCGTTTCATCTAAAATTTGAAGTTTTCCGGCCCAATCCCTTGCCGTGCATGATTTATGGAAGGCTTTTCCACACTTCACACATATTATTGTGCTTATTTTTTAGTTTTGCAACAAGTAAACTTGGTTTTTTCACTCTCACTCTCGCGATCATCCTTATCGGACGCCATCTTTTTATTGGTGATCTTTTTATTGGTGCTGTTGAATATTGAGTATTCAACAGAATGAAAACCATAAACTCTTTTATAAAGATAAGTCACGTCACTGGTAGATGGTAATTACTTATCTATCACTATCAATTTGTCCTAATTGCTTTAAGTTTTTGTTTGAAAGATAAAAATTAAAGCTATAAACTTTTCATTGCAGTTATTGCAATTTACAAACAAACAAATTGTTTTTTCAAAAAGGAAGATGATCTTCATATACCTTGTACTAATTATGCATATCTTGATATAACTTTATAATTTAATTGTTAATATTTACTTGTAAAACAACAGTTTTTTGGGAGCAATTGCTAATGACATCCTTCGAGGTTTATTGATTTTTAACTACTATAAAAATATCAATCGAAACTAACGGTTTAAATTTTCATCAAAAGAATTATTCATAAAGTCTGCAGCGCGAGCGTCAGCTGTTTTAGATCTACAATCTGGACAATTGCTTTTAATATAGCCAAGTTTACCACAGCCATAATATGATATACTGGAAGACGTAAAATTATTATTACAAGCAGGCTCCTTTTTAACACCAAAGTCCGTTTTAGCCAAAGGGGCAGCGCTAGTAGGTTTATTTCTACTGTTTGCTAGCTTACGACACTCTTCAATAACATGTCCTGTATATTTACAATATGCGCATCTAAGTTTTTTCTGAGACGGAAGTTTTTGTTCGCTAATAACTTTGTTTTCCTGTGTATTATCGAATGTTTCTTCGACTAATCGCGCACGAGTGAGAAGTTCACCAAAAGTTTGTATTTTATCGTGAATTCTACCTTTTCCCGAATTCTGCGATTTAAAAGTCCATACACCATATCAAGTTGTATAGCCTCTCAACGTACCGGCAGGCAGTTGCGCCAAGATTGACCTAGCCTTACATACAAAAACGTCGGTTTTGACCTTAGTGTCTTGTTCATTACTAAATAATTCACGATATACGCGATGAGGAGGTTTAATCGGACCAAAAGTTGAACGTAATACGTCAATAGCTGAGTTCCACTCAGTTAGAGTAGTTCTGACTCCACGGTAACACGTCGCAGCGAACCCACCAAGCAACATAGGAAGTCCCATGAGAGCGTTTTCATCAGAAATACCCGTACAGTTTTTGTATACCACAATAGCATCAATAAAAGCATTGACATAAGTCTTCGAACTACCGTTAAATCGCGAATTGCACTTTGCAAAGTTACCGCTTTGTACATTTACTGGAGGAATATCGTGCTGAACATTAACAACAGCAATGCGAGTTAAAAGTTCTTGAAATTGTTCTTGCGAAAGCGTCACTGGAGCAGTATTAGCCATCTTATCTTTCGATCTAAGATTGTACGTTTAGCTTACAGTTTTTCCTAGAATCCATAAACAAAGTCCTGTTCTGTCACTGGTAAACCTGATGTAAAATATTTCCAAAAGTATTTCATGTAGAATGTACGCAGGAACGTAATTTTCGCGTCAATTTTTGGAACAGTCTGTATACACAATTAGCCTCTACGCAGGGATAGCGTTGCGTTACCAGCAGAATCACGCGCCAAACGTTTTATCTTGTAACTTTAATTGTTTCGCGAACGATTTATTTTTTCCGGTGATAGCTCACACGAGAAACACATAACATATTATAGTCCCACTGTATAGGTTGCGATAGCAGAAAAAGTCCTATTAACACACGTGGAAAACGAAATCCCGCTAAAACTACAATACACAAAATTATAACGTTTATTTATTCCGTGCCCCACGTTGGGCGCCATTATAAGGGGGATTTGGGGTAGGTACACGAAATACACGTCAAACACTTGTTACTGTAGGTTATATTGAGATTAAAACATTAAAGTTGACAATAAAAATAAAATTCATAGCGCGGGGATGTTTCTTGGTTCGTTGGTTTTTTCAACTGCATCTCTCGTGGGGCTTCGTGTTAGTTCGGGAAGTCGACGGAGCCACTGATATTATAGTATGGGAGATTAGTGGGTGCATAATATGGGAGATTGGTGGATAATATACAGGTGGCTGTTATTTTAATTATTAGCCAGCTTTCCGCTTGTGCGTAAAGAAAATGCAGCAAGAAAATTTGATCTACTGTGATGCTACTCTTCTGAATCCACATTGATATTTTCCTACTTTATTATTTATTTTTTGTGATATCTCAACTTTTATAATATGCAACATTTAGTAGCGTTATTCCCCTGTAATTATGACATAAACTTTTGTTGTCTTTTTTGTGTGGCTTCATCTATTCTTTGCATTTTTGTTCCTATATTTCTTGTAGTAACTTTTTAGTAACTCTTTCAAATGCTTAATTAGTACTGGTCCTCCATATTTTAATTACAACTGTTACTTCATCCTTTCCTGGAATCTTATTTTTCTTTAGTTTAATTTTTATTTATTTAATTTTTATTTAAAATTTAAATGAAAGATACCAAAAATAAGAATGCTCTAAATTTGACATTTTCAAATCTCCAAACACGAAGTATTAATCGCGGTCATTCTTTATATATGTCTTTGGGTAACACATTCTACTCTATATGAATGTTCTAAAAATCTTATACATAAAGTCATTATACAGTTTCTACATAATCGAAATATAGCAACATACTTTAAATTACTTTTTTTTTCTATTTATTCTTTTATTTAACTGATCTGTATATTAATCTGATTTTTTAGCACTTTATTGGACGAAGAAGAAATTGTTACAGCATTGCAATCAGAAATGTCCACAGAGCTCTAGTTTATGCTACAAAAGGGAGGCAATTAAGGAAAGAAGACATGGCTAGTGTTAGTATTCTTTTATTTTAATATACATTTTTACTGTGGCTAACTAAATCAAGCTATCCAAAGCCAACAATAAATAAATTTTAATGCATAATGGGTTTAATTTTTAAAAAATCTTGGCTTGTGACTGTATTTAACCACTAAAAGTCAAAATTGCAATATTTTTTAGTTACATTTTATGGATTTTTTTTCCATTTATGATATAGTAAAAAATTCTGGATAAATATGCACTCTGGAGAAATAACATAGTATTCAATATCTAAAAAATGTCTTAAATTAATTTTTTACATACAGATTGAACGAAATAAATTCGGAACATAGGAATATAATGTATTTCGGCTCAATTCTGCTGTAGGTGGTTGGCCAACAAAATATTGTCAAATAATTATATTATAAAAATCCAATACTCCAGCAGGCTGCTGGATTCTGAACTCATAAAAATTGAAAGCTACACATAAATCTACGATTTATGCTGTCAAACCAGTTATAGTCCAGGAAATGAAGCATTTCACCTCGCAATTTTTTCGTGCTCCCTGGATTGACTTGAAATTAAACAGAAGGTAGGTAATAGCCTAAGGATCAAAATCTATATCGAACCAAAGTGCGCCAAAGCCTAGGGGGTGGTTGCCACCCCATCTCCTGGGTGAATTTTTTTTTACGTTTTAACTACAGGTTTCGATTAAAAAAGTGATTCTAAACAAAAAATGTGCTATACATTTTTTTTATAAAATGATATTTTTCAAGTTATTCGCGATTGAAAGTAATAACTTTTAGACGAAAAATCCACGATTTTTTCGCGAATAATTCGAAAATGGTGCATTTTATCAAAAAAATTGTAGAGAACAAATTTGTAGCTTTTAAAAAGACAAATACAATTCATTTTTTAAAATGTTTTTGGGATATAATAGGAACCGAAATACGGCCTATCAATGTTCAGCGGTTTTCTTCAAATGCCAAATTTGAAAGATTCAAAATCAAATATCGGGAAAATGATGCATTTTTGGAAGAAAACTCACAAAACCTTTTTTAAAGAGCATAAATAGACCTATCATAAAAGACTCTAGCTCAAAAATTGAGTGAGTTATGATGAAAATAAGGTCAATACCTCATTTTTTACGAGAAAATCGATGAAAACAACCCCTAACCACCCCCATAATTAAAATCGATCTTCACCCTTCTGAAATTCCCTTTGTACATGTATTGTTAATACGTCCAAGAAGTTTGACCCATTTAAAATGCTTTGTGTTAGAAAAAGTACAGCTTAAAGCGAGAAACGATTTACAATTTCATATTTTTTACCCTTCTTTTTTAAATATGCCCGAAAATACTGAATATATGAAAAAAATACAAATTACCAAATTGTAGCTTTTTTAATGACTAAAATTATCCTTCATTTAGATTTGTTGTACAATGAATATTTGGCGAGATATAGCCGTTTAAAGCATCGATTTACGATCAAGCACCATCTTTTTCGAGCCCTTTAAACTCACCCCATTTAAAAACCAAGGGTTCCAAAAGATTTAATTCACAGATTCTTGTAGCTCTTAAAAACCTCTACAAATCGTTTTTGAAGAAACACTCTATCGTTAAAAATTAAAGGAAATACGTTAAAAAAAACAGTGAATTTTTTTCCGGAAAATTCTATTAGTATAGTACAGTACATTTCGGAGCATAATAATCTACAAAACCGGTATATTAGCTAGTGGGGCGTTATACATTCGAAATTTTAAGCGTTCTTATTTTGAAATCCCATACAACAGAATAAAACATCTGCTCATATGTCTATGGCTTGGCAATGAAAATATTAGAGCAACAGATTGGGGATGGTATTCCAAAGATGGTTTGTTATTACCCGTACGCATGAACAAACAACCTGCACTCGATGAACTTTCGAAAATTATTTTTTGGCAATGCAAAAAAGGATGCGGTGTTTCATGTGGGTGCAGAAAAGTTGGTTTATACTGTAACTCTACTTGTTCTGGGTGCTCAGGTGAAGGGTGCAATAATAGTCCACCAATAATTGAAGATGAGGATGACATAGATCACGATGAAGATGTAATTGATGACGAATAAAATTAATATTACAATTGTTTTACCTATAAATGTAAATATTTTCAACTATTTATGTAAATGTATAAGAATATATGGTGCCTTTTTATGTTGATAAATTTTTTTGTATTTAATTCTACTTTTTTCAATTTATATCTTATAAATTAGTTTATAAAAACTGCAATGTTGTAAAGGGTGATTTTCAAAAGTTGAAAAGTTGCAAAATTTTGGCAAAAAATTGTTTTCACCTATAGCACTCATAGCAATTGATTTTAAGGGTTGAAAATGTATGAATTTGTATTTTAAAGTATAAAAAAATCACTATTTAACTAATCCAAACCAAATTTCACTCATCTTAAGATTTATAATATTATTTTACAATTTTTGAAAATTAGAGGTAGTTTTCACCCTAAGACACAATCAGGGTTCATCGGCATGACATAAACTATAAAGCAGAGGGTGAGTTGAGCTTAATTCCAAATTTTTATGCAAATCGTTCCAAGGTGAAATCATTTTCTCGCATTACTAATTTTTTTATATTAATCTCTAATAAGGGTCGCTTTTTAAGGGTTGAAATATGATGGAACTTTATTCAAAAGCACGAAACTATCATTATTTAATTAATTCAAACCAAATTTTACCCATATTCAGGTTTAATATGTTATTTTATAATTTTTGACAATTACGGGTAGTTTTCACCCCTTAGAACAATCAGGGTTCGTCGACATGACATAAACTATAAAGCAGCGGGTGAATTGAGTTTAAATCCAAATTTTTATTCAAATCGATCCAAGGCGAAATCATTTTTTAGAATTAGTAATTTTTTTACATTAATTTCTAACAAGATTTGCTTTTTAAGGGTTGAAATATGATGGAACTCTATTCAAAAGTATAAAATAATCATTATTTAACTAATTCAAACCAAATCTTACCCATATTCAGGTTTAATATGTTATTTTATAATTTTTGACAATTAGGGGTAGTTTTCACCCCTAAAACCCTTCAGCGCACTTCGGTTCGATATAGATTTTGATCCTTGGGCTATCACCTACCTTCTGTTAAAATTTCAAATGGATACATGCAGGACGAAAAAATTGCGAGGTTTTAACTATTTTCGAGCTTCATTTCCTGAACTATAATCGTTTCCTTAGACAAACCCGTCTTATGCAAACAACATTGTTGTGAGACAGATAGTTGAACGATATTTTATATAATGTCTATACTCAGGTATGGATTTATTTTTGTCCGAGTTTTATATTGGTCCACTATTTCAAATGCAGTTCAAACACACATGTATTAAATTGTATGTTCCGTTTTAATTTGGTTCAATCTGTATAATATAAATTAGTAGAATAATATTCTCGGAAAATTTTATGAAATGTTTTATTGTATCTATAGAATATTTTTTAAAATATTTAATGGATTTATATTATTTGAAATATAGATTTAATACTTTAAAAATTTCAATTTAAAAGTTATAAATATCCATTATATTGATATTGTTGATATTTGAAATACTTAAATAAAAAAATGTAACATTTTTATATTTAAATAATTTTGAATGACATTACAGCAGTAAATGTTTTTTTCGAGAATTCTATTAATACAGCCAGACAACAAAAAATCTAAAATCTAGAACATTCACATTTTTTATTGATGTCATTTCATGAGATCAATACTCAATGACACTTAGCATTGGGTTGTAGAACAGGTGCCACTACTTTTCCAGACTTTCTCTGATCTATTGATTTTTAGTTTTATCGTTTTTTGAAACACCGCCTATCTATATAAGCATTCTCATTTCTGATCATGTTTTATTATACATCCTAACTGGTCTTACAATAGCTGTGGTATAGAAATTACCTTTAAGTTGCCTATTATTTTTTTCACAATTACTATATGATAAAAAGGCTTTCTTATGTAGTTTTTGTGTTAAAATTTTGTTTATTGTTTAAGAAAGCCCTGAAATTAGGATTATCTTAGTAACAGACAAAAAACCCGGTACCTTCGGCTCGATTACATATACAGGCAAGATATCAACAAAAATAGCCAAACACATAAAAAAGGAATTACATCAGCTTTCAGAACAAACAACAACTTAAGCAAATATATTAAGAACAACAAGAACAAAAAGAAAAACCACTTACACAGTGGTGTATACAAACAAGCAATATTCTTAACAAACTGTCGTGTCGGATTGGTATTAACAAAATTTGCGTTTACGCTAGGTTCTTCTTAGCTGGTTCGCATTATACTATGTAAATTAGGTAACGGATAAAAGAAGAAAAAAAAATGGTAAGGCAATTCAAGAATACAGAATAGTAAATATTTAGATTATAAGTAATCAATATTGAGAACAATAAGTTGATGGTATAGTAAGGCGATGTTCTAAAAACCTAATGCTTAATGCCAAAGCAAAGCAAAAATTATGTTAAATAAAGACATTCGTTATGCTGAACAAACAATTGTTTTTTAAATTATTTTATTTCAATTATTTTTAAGTTCCGATTTAACTACGAAAATATTCTTGTTTTGTCCTTAGTTATTGTTTTATTTAATTAATAAATATTTATATATTTTATTTCTGTTGGTTGTTTTAGTTATGGGAAATGAGGATAAGAGCAGGTTGTGATCAACATAATGTAAGTTACGAAACTTTCAGAGAGGGTCTGGTGAGATCTGATATATTATTGAATAGAAGAACCTTGGCAGATCTAGCTTGTTGGGAACCATACTCATTTAAAGCACTCACAGACATTGCTAAAAGAAGAGCTGTTGATGATGGTTTAGCTGGAATAAGTGCAGATAGCTCCCTTGATAGGATAATTACTAGAGGCTGTATGGCCAAACAAAAGTAGTTTTTAAAATGCATATGTAGTTAATGATATATGTAAGTTTGTGTTTTATGTTAAATACAAATAATTATAAGCAATTAGTTCTTTGTCTTTAATATTGCGATAAAAACACTGCCTGGGATGATTTCGGGGTGGACTGAGTAGCTTTTGCGGTTAACACAACTGGTTTTAAGCCCGGATAAAATGTGGAGAGTAATTGGCAAGGTTAGCACCTATCAATCGTAAAAACAAATACTGCTCAAAGAAACAATGTACAGCCTCGGAACCGGATTGATACTATGAAGACGACCACGGCAAGAAATAAGGACAAGCGAAAAATATCCAAAACCCAGATGAGAATTACTAGTTGGAATATCAGATCGCTCAAGTCAAGGGACCAAGAAATAACTCAAGTCCTGAAAGAGAAAGAAATAGACATTTGTGCTCCACAGGAAACAAAAAAAGAAAGGAAAAGGACTATCAAAATTAGGTGCATATATACTAATCTACAGTGGAGTAGCACAGGAAAATAGGACCAAAGAAGGTATAGCTTTACTAATACACCAAAGGTACCAAAATCACATCAAAGAGTATCAATACATATCAGAAAGGATTGTAACAGCAAAGATAAGTATGGAAAAAGAAGACCTGAACATCATTGGAGTATACGCCCAAAAAATAAAAAGCCTCAAACAACGGAAACGTTTTATAACCAATTACAACAAGTGGTAGATCAAGTCAGAGGGAAGATGATAACATTGGGGATTTTAACGCTCTAACAGGCAATCAAGTAATACCCATAATTAAGCAAAAACATAACGAGAATGTTAAAAACGAAAATGGAGAACTGGTGATAAACTTCTGTACGAATAACGAACATAGAATTAACAACACATTTTTTGGCATTGAACCGGGTTTATACCCTAGCGTTGTGTTAAAAAAATATTTATATAATTTAAAAGTTATTAGTAGACAGTATTAATATAATTTATTATAGCATGTAGTATTTTTTGTCTAATTCTTCAACAAAAACAAAAAACGCTCACCAAAATATTTATCTAGGTATAATATATGTGTGAATTACTATTGTAAATTCGGCTAATGAAGTAAGTCCAGAGTCAAAAGAAACCAACATTACACACATACACATTTTTTGGCACACAAAGACAAACACAAATATACATTTAATAACACCAGTGGACAAAGATCTATGATAGATTATGTTATAACCAACAGAAATATACATCCATCAAAAGTAATCGACGAAAGATGCCTGAATCCCGCAGCAGATGTAGGTAGCGACCATAGCCTAGTATTATATAAAATAAGATTCGTCCTGAAATACTTCAGACTCAAGAGAGTGGCACCAACATAAACAAAAATCAAAGTCTAAGGGCTTAATACGGAATACTTATACAGAAATATATCAGAGAAAATCGCTGGGAATAAAAGATTAGAAAACGATATCATCCAAGAAAGCTTGGAAAAACTCAAAAATAACAACGCAGCAAGAAAATCACTTGGAGAGAGAAAAGTAACGAACTTTACGAAGTAGACCGCAAGTAGAGCAATTAATGAAAGAAAATAATTTACATGAAGGTAATTTACATCCCTGTCGGGCTTGCATATAAATTGGCCAGTGTGCAAATGAATCAGTTCTTACTTCTTTTGGCGGAATGTAAGATGTTGTAGTTGAACGATCTTTTTTAGCTTCAATTGATTTTTCTACTTCACTTAGACGTCCTCTTTTCTTCGATTCATTGCAGGCCCCAATATGGTATAAGCAGTATGTTACTTCTGCGTGAAAATCTGCTAACCAAAGGATATTAGTTTGCTTCCGGTTTTCTGCACATTTTTTATACAGCAACCAGCTATTTATTACAGCCGTATCTACTAAATGGTAAAATAGGCGCAGATACCACTTTTTAGTTCTCATTTGAATTTTATACCTTCCTATCAGTGAATCCATAAAATCTACGCCCCCATGTGTTTGTTGTATTCTTTCACAACATATAGACCGTTGACGGTCGTCTGATACTTCTGTTTTCGGTCGTAACGATTTATTTGGGTAATAGGAATTTCTCCGGAAAAACTAGATAAGAGTAATACGGTTTTGTTGTTTTTACATATTCGACAGAGGTACCTCTTGCTTCTTTTCTCAAGATGTCTTCACTTGGCAATTTACAATTGGATATTCTTACTCTGCGAATGCATCCCTTTTTGCGTCAATTGAACTAACAGTGGAACAGATGTGTAGAAATTGTCGAAATACACCCGATTAAGGTAACAACAACGATTTAAAATAAGGAACGTTTCTGCAAAGTATAAGAACCATATTTGCGCTAGCCCCCAATTCCGTTTCATTTGGCAGACATACATTTTCGCAACCTGTACATATTTCAAATTAATGGAAAAAAACCATCAACCCCACATAGCATATACAATTTATAACTCCAATTGTGGGGTTTAGCAGGTAGATATTGTTTTAAATGATGTCTAGCATTTGATCGCATAATTTCTCGTCTACGGATAGATATTTTTGTAAAGGGGTAGACTGAAATTTAGAATTCAATGCATCAGCTACAGGTCGCAAATTGTACAATTTATCATAATATCAATCGTTTCTTTCTGTTGCTTTACTGTTGTCTGCGAAATGAAGAAATCTACGGATTCTCTCAAATATATTTTGGTCATGACATCAGCTATCTGGTGATAACCAAGGGATGCTGACCAGTACTTTCGCACATTTGGCATATGTATACTTAACATGTACATATGACATCCGATATTGATTTCATATCATAATTTATTCCGGATCCTGATTGTAGAAATATTGCAATTACCAGATCGATTATCATAATCACTAGTAACTCGTTTAAACGTAGGAGTTCCCCTTTTCTCCTCCAAAGTCTCTTTGAATAAACTAAACGTTTCCTCAAATCCCACCCTGAGTTAGTAGTGACTAACTCAGACAAACACTAAAAAGAAACCCTCATCCTATAAAAGTGTTGTTGCTAATTTCTACACTCTCCCTAAATTCCATAAACCTACCTTAATTGTGAAACCCATAGTTTCCTCCATAGGCTCACCAACTGAAAATATTGCAGGCTTTCTTACTAATATTTTGACTGCTTATGATTCGAATAATAATTACTACATCAGAGATTCTTACCAAGTTGTCGAGTTGTTCAACAGAACTGTCTTACCACATAATTATGTTTTCGTCAGTCTAGATGTGGTCTCCCTCTTCAGTAATGTTTACTTAAATACCGTTCTACGATCTATTCATAAACACTGGAATACAATTTCTGTGACAATAATCATTGATTATGATATATGTTTATTGAGAGGATAGAGTTATTGTTTAATTCCACTTGTTTTTCTTTTAAGAACAAATATTATAAACAAATTTTTGGCGCTCTCTCCAATTCGGGCTATATATGCAATGGAGTATTCTGTTGAGATTTTGTCCCTCACAGTTGTCAGAAAAAACGCATTTCTTGTTTTCCTTCCAGAGCCTATTCTTCTATTAATTTTTTAACAGAGGAAGCTACTTCATTGGATCCTCTCAGTCCTTTTGTCTTATCCCGCATGTAGCAATAACCTTTTTTTAAATACTAATTGTAAACAGAAAGCTTTCTACGATAATACAACTGAGATACATCTAAATGGGGCGTTTGAAGAACTTGTTGCATATAAAAAAATAGGTATCATCATCATTTTCAAATCCCTTCTCTGATTTTTCTTGTTTCTCTTGGAAGCATCTTGTTCTTTAAATGGTCTTCAATTAAATCTTTCATTTTATTTCTTTCTTCCTCATTGCTGTTTTTATGTTTTTCGCATAGGTCACACAAATCCTTTTTTGGTTTGAAGAATCCGAAGTTAAAATTTATGTTGAATAAAGATCTATACATTGTTTAATTTTTTAATTTATAGTCTTCTTTATATAAAGCATATATTTTTGATTTATATTTATAATTTTTGGATTTGAATCTGAATATTGCCTTTGTTTATCTTTTCGGCACAAACGGCTTTTTACACTTGTAAACATATTGATGTGATCCTTCACTGACTGTTTTATTTTGTCAGATAATTCAGTATTTTATCTCTTTTGGAAAATGCAGTTTTTACCATTTGATGTGAAATTTTTTACCAAAATTTTGACAATGTATTCTGGAAAGACATTTTACAAACTCTTTCCTTCTTTTCAGAAGTACAAAGTAAATAAAAATAAGACATAGACTTTTGTGATGATTTTCTACTACTACTTGTCAGGGTTTCTTTATCATCCTTATCGTCAGCATCATTAGTGTAGTCATCAGCTATATAATAGCTTACTCTCGAGCGCATAATAGGCTTCTCCTCTATATTATTTATAATAAAATCTTAAGATATAGGACAATAACAAAAATTACTATTTGCTAAAATGTAATTATAAAACTAATCTATATGAATTAAAACTTAAGTTAATGAAATTAAACTATTTAATTGTACAAACATGAACTATGTATTCAAAGTATATTAATATTACTAATACTAACATTGTTGTGACAGTGCCACCATAGACAGTGCTCACGACTTAACATAATTATTTGAATTCTCAAACAGGAAAAATATTGTTTTTAAAGTTCAATTTTTGCTGTTGATTTTGAGATACAAATAACACAAACTAACCTATGTTTACAAAAACCAGACTAGTGCTACCACGATCTGGTGAGTGCAGAACTAGTCTCTCTCCAGATAGGCTAGTTCTGCACGCAGTATATTGGATAACTCAGATGAGAAGAGAACTAATTAATGTTGACATACACTACTTCTGCACCAACAAAATTAAGATAATGGACATAAACTACTTCAGTATTATTTGAAGTGCTTAAATAATTTTAAACCTGGACTTATAATATTTCTGCAGTAAGTACCCACTGTAACAAGAAAAGTTTCGACCAAAAAACAGCAAACAGCCAATTTTGGACATAGACTAGTTCTGTTTTAAGGCAGCGAATTGTTCCTAGATAATTCTTACCCTGAATCCTTACTCGAGAAAATCATCTTCAACACATCCTCTGTTATACTCAATAGACAATTGAACCCTCTCCAA